AAGCATTTGTGCCCCTCCTCAGTCTGAACCGTTACATAAGAGCACGGAACAGAAAAATTCCTCCTATCCATCGAGTTCAGTGGCCAGGAGATGTCCCAAGGGAGTACCTGCATTGTTAGGCCCAGCTTTTTCATCCTGTCCTTCCCCTCCCTGGTCCAAGGAGCAGGTTCCTCGTCGTCCCTCCTGAGCAGGTAACGCCACACCAAAAACCCCGATTTCCCCGTCTCGGGCCAGTATTTCACCACCTGGAAAAGTCAGAGCGAGCCCATCACGCCCTGCAAACCCCCCCTTGGCCAAGTTACCTTCTCCTAGTCCGGCCAGTGAATTCCCAAACCCCCTCACCTTGTATATCCCGTCGTATCTGTTGCCTTCCAGGGGGGCGTATTTGCTGTGTTTGCCTCCCTTGACGTTCCTGACCACCCGGACAGGCTTCCCAGCCCTCCAGTCCTTGGCTTCTGCCCCGTGTTTGTCGTTGATGGGGGCACTGCAGTTCAGGGCCAGAGCTCTGCAACACACTCCAGTCAGCTCAGGGCATTTACCACTCTGCCTTAAACAACTACAGGGCATTTACCGCTCTGCCTTAAATAACTACCCTTCCACACAACTTGCGTGCAACAGCCAGAGCTCTGCAGACAGTGATTAACCCTGCTGATGGGGGTTATATTTAATTATTTGTGACCTTACCCCAATGCACCAGCACAGACCACCCCCTTCACTCAAGCCCATGCTTATTTTTACACTCACATATGGTCTGGCCTCCCAAGGTGGCCACAGGCTGCAAAAGCCTTCAGGAGAGAGCATGAACACTCCTGCACCAATTTCCTACCCCGTGCCTCAAGATTCAGCCAATATTACACGTGACACCCGATACCATTTACAGTTCAGTCCCATTATGGTGCATATTCCCACTCTCCAGCTGATCTGCAGCCTCACAGCTCAATCCTGACAGTTTTTCCCCTGGGTACAAACAATTCCTGATGGTGGCAGACCGCCAGGCACCGAGGTCAGGGTGGAGCACAGGTGTTGCCAACCTGTTCATGTTGGTGAGTTTCTGGTCACAGGACTGCTCGGCCGTGCGTTTGTTCCCGGAGAGGTCCCGCCCTCCGCTCCCCGTGTAGGTGAAGGAATTCCCGTGGTCCTGCAACGCACGGGGATGGTGTTGGCACATTCACAAGAACGACTCAATAAAAGCAAGGAGAGCAAAATCAAGTGGGTTTAGCAGCGTTTTCTCAAAACAAGGGAAGATGTGTTTAAGCTCCCAGGTTGGGTCTGTGGCCCTCCCTGAGACTGCCAGGAGAGCAGAGTCAGGGTGACAGGTGACAAGGTGACAAGGTGACAACTGTTGTCTTATCCCACCCCTGAGCAGTGCCAAGGACCTCTGGGCTGCACGTGGCTCACACAGGATCTCCTGGAAGGGAAGATCTGGCAGCACAAGCCACGAGACTCTGCTCAGTGTGCAATGGAGACCCCGAAAAGGCAGCTGAGGATTCTGAGATCAAAAGCTGACACGGGGATATTAAAACTTGGTTTAGATGATCCTGTTGCTCAGGTTGGCATATTTGGCTGCAGTTTTTCCTTGCCTGATTTTCTTCTGAGGGAAATAAGTAGAGGTGGGCAAGTGCCTGATGTGGAGTGTGAAAAGTAACTAAGGCCAAGTCTTGGTTCTGGGTGTAAATAATCACAATTTACTTACTATGTCATCTTCATAGCCTCCTGACAGGACCAAGGAATAGGCCCCATCGTTGCTTCTGCCATGTATCCCGGCAACATGGGGCCTGTGGACTCCGGATTCGCTCACCTGCAAAACCAGAAACAGTTTGCAAGGCTCCAAACAACATGATCACCCCTTGGCCTTGGAACTGAACTAAACACTGTTCCAGATTTGGTTTGAAACTGCTCTCATCCTCCAAAAAGCTCCAGGTAGAGGAAAGAAAAATAAAAAAATGTTTCTTAAAAAAAAAAAAAAAAAAAGAGCCATTGAGTATTTCAATTACTTGAAAACACGGGTAAGTTTTGAGATGTGAATTTAGGAATTTGGATCTTACTGAGATTGCTTATTAAAAAGCTCCAGGGATTTCAGAATAATACAGATATTAAATATTTGTATAAAGGGATTGGCTTTGAAAGACTTGGAATAGCAACCTTCACCTGGATGCTTGAATAAAAAAAAAAGGTCTGGATAGGGCAGTGCTTTTCATTTCCCCAACTTTCCATCAGGATGAGAAACCTTCTTTTTAATATATGTAAACATCTGAGAGACTCTTTCCAGGTGAACAGTGGCAGATACTACAGACCTCCAGGACAAACTCCTGGAAACAACACATGTTTGCTTTGGGTTTTCTGAGTTACCAAAAAGAGCACTGAAATAAAAAATAAACCAGCCCTTGATAGGCCTGGACAACACAACATTAGTTCTGGAACACTTGATCCAGACAAAGCCGGAATTCTCTCCCTCCTGCACTCACACAGGCAGTGACACCCACTCCGACATTAACTCTTTCTTGTAAGAGCTGCCTCACTCCCATTTTTCCAGCTTTTCCAGGCCGGGATTCAGCTCCATACCTGAACTCTGAACTTCCACATGGTGCCAACGGGGATGCCAGGAATTGGTCCGTAGTGGTTGGAGGGGACGATGGTGCATTCCTTGGTGCGACCCACACACGCCATGCCCTGGGGTCAGAGAGCAGGACCAGTGAGCCAAGAGCCCAAAGGAACTGAACAACAACACACACACACGCTGCTCCTGGGAGTAGAACAGCTCTGAACTCACCTTGCCCCAGTCTCTCCGTGAGGATGAGTTGGCAGATGCCATCTTCTGTTTCTTTTTGCTTTCTTTTAACCTCTCTCCTGCTAAAACCACCTCGCTGGCATCGTTTCGACACTCGGGGCAATACCTGAAAGTCAGGGAAAATTGACAAGTAGCAAAGCCTTGAGTTAAAAGAGAATTTCATCAAAACACTCTGAGTTGTGTTACAATTCTCCCTGTGAAACTAGATAGGATATGGAAACTCTCCATACTGGAATTAGACCTGTATCAGGTACTGTCCTTGCAGCACCTTCTAAGCCACTGCTGATGTGTCAGGAAAACAGCTCTATCATGAAATCATTGTATAAAATGCTGAAAGGAGTCAGAGGGAACAAAACAGTGTATTTTACCATCTATATGTACATTGAAAGGTGTATTTCACTAATTACATCACATATTTCATATACAAACCAGCATCTGTCACCAGCCTGATCTGATGGAGGGGCCTGGGGACTGCCTGTAGTGACCCATGGAAGCCTCCTGCCATCAGGTTCTCATTTGGGATTTGGAAGGGACCTTGAAGTTCATCTCATTCCACCCCCTGCCATGGGCAGGGACACCTCCCACTATCCCAGTTTGCTCCAAGCTCATCCAGCCTGGCCTTGGACACTCCCAGGGATGGGGCAGCCACAGCTTCTCTGGGTAAGCTGTGCCAGGGCCTCCCCACCCTCACAGGGAGGAGTTTCTTCCCAACCTGGCCTTTAGGAAGGCAAACAAAACAGGCATCCAGACCCCAAAACCAGGAAAAGAAGTTGCAAGCCACTGGCTTAAAACCTTCTCTCATAAGCTCAAGGAAAGCTCTGAAGTCCCACCAAAAAAAAAAAAAAAAAAATAAAAACAAACCCAAAACACACAAACACCTGTGCAGTTACAATATTTGCCACCCACAGAGAACTCACCAGTCCTCATCATCTGGAATGCTGCTGAGGGGAGGGTCGAGGCAGTAGATGTGGAAGGCCATGTCACACTCGTCACACATGAGCTGTTTGTCTGGATCTTGTTTCCCCCCACAGATGTGACAAGCACAGACTCTGCAGGTCTTGTTTGGGTTGTCCTTGCAGGCTTTGCACACAGGTCCACTCTGTCCTGTGAGCAAACACAAAGCAGGCTCAGAAAGGGCCAAGATCCAACGGGAATCATTGAGGGAGGCACAACTAAACGTGTTTTGAGACCTTTGATCCTCAACGAGGACAATCAGCAGAACATCACAAGGTAAGACAGACATGCAAGATCTCCACCAGACTCACGTTTTGGTGTTCCAGATGGGATGGGGGAAGCAGTGCCTGGTTCCTCAATTTTATAGATTTCATCCACTAACGTGATTGTGCAGTCGTTCAAGGAGTCCCCAGCTTCCCTGTAAGTTGGGAAAAGCAAGAGATCAGACTGTGAGAGTATTCCACAGCACGAGTTCACAGCTGTGCATGTACCAGACTGCTCTGGTTTTAAGAATCAAATTATTTTTATGCAATTAGAAAGTATTCCCTTTTGTCTCACTGAGATTTCAAGCACTTCGAGCATCCCAGCTATCATTACTGACAGTTCTGCCTCCCCCCAAGTATATTCCAGATTGATCCTTCTCGATGAAAGAAATGGTGCAGCAGAATTGCTGGGGAGAGGGAAGAAGTCCCTGTCCTTTTTGGGTGACTTCTTCATGCTGCAGCTTTGATTAACTCCCACTGGGGAATTGGACACTTCAGGGAATCACGGAGGATGCTGATCCATGGATTCACTCATGCTGAGGAGCTGGGAAATTCAATTTATTCCACGTTACGAATTTGCTTACCCAAGCAGTATCTTTGCATTGATCTCCCTGGTCATTTTCGTTTCCCTTTTCTGCAGGATCTCAGCATCATACCAAAAGCCCCTCTCTTTTGGTTCATCAGGGTTGTAGTTGACCATCACCACCTGTCCCACTTCCAGCTGGTGCCACTTCAAAACAGTCCTGGCCCGGGCCCGAACGTTACTGGAGCTCATCTGCACCACTCCATTCTCTGGATAACTTGGAGGGAGGGACAGAGAAGGAAAATCAGATTCAATACCAGTTTGAGAAG